GCCAAGCTGGGCTGAAATGCCTCAAAACACAAAGAGAACAAAGTGCAAGTGTCCCTGGCCAGGCTGGGGCACCCTGGCACACTGGGAGGTGTCCCTGCCATGGCAGGGGTGGCACTGCATCATTTTCAGCTCCCTTCCCACCTGAACCATTCCATGAAATGAATGTTTTTGAGCTTTGGCTTAATAAAAGGACTGATTATTAAATGCTGCTTAGAGAACAATATTTGAATTCATTTTTATTGAACTGTATCTTAAATTTGACAGGAATATTTAAACAGTGCCACTGATGGAGGAGGAGATGAATCTGCTGCAGTCTCCAATTGTGTAGAAGCCTCTGAAACACTGCAAACAGGTCAGATTCTCCTTTCTAAGAAAAAAACATATCCCTTGGCTTTATTTCTTTTTAAAATAAGTAAAATATTGTGATGCTAAGGTTTTTGCCTCTTTGCTAAGCCTGATTATTGGTATTAATCACCACTGAGTGACCTCCTTGTGGCATCCTGCTGCTGACATGGAAAACAAGATTGCCAAGGAAAGGAATGTCTATAAAAAATTTAACCCACCCCAAGACTTCAGAAACTTTGAGCACCTGATTTTTGAAGGAGTCTTACACTTCTCAGCTGAAACTTGGGTTACTGGGAGTTGTTTTTAGTCTGTTTCTTCCTTGAGTTTTTTAATAAATCCAGAGTGAAAGTCCTGGCTGGCCTCACAGGCCATGTGAAGATGTTTTGCTGGTTGTTTGGGTGGTGATTTTTAGGAGAATATTTAAATCTCTTGCAAAGCCTCTGCCCTGTGCCAGTTCCCCTTCACACAGCTTTTTATTTCCTTTTATCTTATTCCAACAGAGAGTGCTGACAGCTCCAAAACACCCAAGAAGAAAAAAGTGACTTTTGGGGAAGTTCTGAGCCCCGAGATCTTTGACCAGAGCCTGCCTGCCAACACCCCCCTGCGCAGAGGAGCCTCCCCAGGGAGGGCACAGAGCCCCTGGACACGGCCAGGCCTCCCTGAGGAGCCTCTGCCCCTGCTGGACTTTGGCTGGGATGAGGTCAGTGGTCAGTTTGTGTGGGCTCAGTCCTGGGTGCATTCTCCTCAGCCTGCTGGGTTTGTGAAGAAAGTGCTGAAATGTGTTGGATTCTTATTGTTATTCATGTTTCTAGAGTCCCATACATTGTTCCATACCTTCCAGCTGGTTTTCTACCATGCTGCTCTTCTCTGTAGCACAGTTCCTCAGGGCTCCTCCAGGGCTCTCAGCCTTTTATCCCAGTTATCTTTGTGAGCCACAGCTGCTGCCCAGCTAAGGACTTGGCAGCTGTGCCTCGTTTAGAATAGCTGGGACCCACTTGTCCAACACACAGGACTCTCCCTACATTTCCCCCTTTTTATACATTTCCTTACAATGCATGTTTTATCCCGAGACTCAAAGGCCTCGTACAACACACACAGCTTCTTGCTTGAGGGCCATAATCCAGCACAGCTCCTTGAGATTCAGTAGCTGTGTTCTTCTGCAGCTCCTGGCTGCCTTTTCCCCCACAGCCCTCAGGCTGCATATCTCAATCACGTTGGGGTCACCAATTGTTATCTTATTGTCTTTCATATTTCTAGAGTCTGATACTGTTATTATATTCCTAAAGTCCATATCTTCTAGCTGGTTTTCTACCATGTTGCTCTTCTCTGTAGCACAGTTCCTCTTGGCTTCTCAGGGGCTCCTCCTGGGCTCTCAGCCCACCCCTTTTATCCCAGTTTTCTTCACAAGCCACAGCTGCTGCCCAGCTAAGGACTTGGCAGCTGTGGCTCATCTGGAATAACTAGGACCCACTTATCCAACACGTAGATTTTGTAGGGACTCTCACTACATTTCCCCCTTTTTCCATTACTAACAGATGTATTCGAATACAATATAGATATTCAAGTACAATATATACATTTCCTTTACAATGCATGTTTTATCCTGAGACTCAAAGGCCTCGTACAACACACACAGCTTCTTGCTCGAGGGCTGTAATCCAGCACAGCTCCTAGAGATTCAGTAGCTGTGTTCTTCTGCAGCTCCTGGCTGCCTTTTCCTCCACAGCCCTCAGGCTGCATATCTCAATCACGTCGGGGTCACCAACTGTTGTTTTCTTGTTGTATTTCATATTTCTAGAGTCGGATACTGTTGTTATTATATTCCTAAAGTCCATATCTTCTAGCTGGTTTTCTACCATGTTGCTCTTCTCTGTAGCACAGTTCCTCATGGCTTCATAGGGGCTCCTCCTGGGCTCTCAGCCCACCCCTTTTATCCCAATTTTCTTCACGAGCCACAGCTGCTGCCCAGCTAAGGACTTGGCAGCTGTGGCTCATTTGGAAGAACTAGGACCCACTTATCCAACACATAGATTTTGTAGGGACTCTCACTACATTTCCCTCTTTTTCCATTACTTACAGATGTATTCAAATACAATATAGATATTCAAGTACAATATATACATTTCCTGTACAATACATGTTTTATCCTGAGACTCAAAGGCCTCGTACAACACACACAGCTTCTTGCTCAAAGGCCGTAATCCAGCACAGCTCCTGGAGATTCAGTAGCTGTGTTCTTCTGCAGCTCCTGGCTGCCTTTTCCTCCACAGCCCTCAGGCTGCATATCTCAATCACGTTGGGGTCACCAATTGTTGGGTTCTTATTGTTATTCATGTTTCTAGAGTCCCATACATTGTTCCATACCTTCCAGCTGGGTTTCTACCATGCTGCTCTCTCTGTAGCACAGTTCCTCAGGGCTCCTCCAGGGCTCTCAGCCTTTTATCCCAGTTATCTTTGTGAGCCACAGCTGCTGCCCAACTAAGGACTGGGCAGCTGTGCCTCGTTTAGCATAGCTGGGACCCACTTGGCCAACACACAGGACTCTCCCTACAGAAATGTAAAAACAGAGTTCAGCTGGAGTTAAAACTCAACTTCTCAGTGTGAGTCTTAGGAATTGTGAGCAGCACTTTGGCCTGGAGAGCTGTTCTAGGAGCTTTCTGAACCTTGAAATGTTTTCCCCTTCACTTTTTCTTACATTTTGCTGCTGTGTTTCTTTTTGCCACACACAGCAAAGGTGTTTTCTTTAAGGAAACAAAATAAAACTGCTTTGTCTACAAACACTGATGGACAAGGTCCACCAAATATCTGCAGTGATTTATTGCTAAAAAATGACATTTTCTGTTTGAAGGAAGGTGTTGAGCCTCTCCCAGAATTCCCAGAAGGTTCAGAAGCCCCTGCAGAAGCCCCTGCCCCTGTTGAAATTGCAGAAATTGCAGAAGGTAACCCCAACTTGTGCTTTTATCAGTAGATAATGAATCTTTTTATACCTGAAAACTGTAAGTTGAGGGTTTTGGTTTATTTTTCTGTTTGTATTTTTTTAATACAGGGGATATATTTCAATTGTGCTAAAACTTGAATGCTGGCATTTAAATGGAAAGGTTTTCTTCTGAAGCTCTTGCAGTAGCTGCAGTGTTTACCTGAGCTTTATTTAAACTTGTGAGATCATTCTGTGAAAATTTTACTGCTTAAAGGAATTTTTTTTACAGTCTTGATTCTGATACTGTAATTTTGATAACTTTTAAACAGCAACCCAACAACAAAAGAATGGAGAGTGGGTTGTGCATATTTATCTATGAAAGCTTTGCATGTTCTAATTCTTGTTACCAAATCCTCCCAAGCTGAGTCTTCCTCTATTTTGTAGAGCAAATAAAAATTTTTATCTTGCCATGTTTAATAGTTCTCAAGATGAAGTTTCTAGTCAAGACTGGCTGAAGTGCACAGGATCAGAAATAATGTAGATAATTTTCTCAAACTGTGATTAACTTGCACTGAATCTGACTAAAAATCCTTTTTTTCATTTCTAGTAGCAGAGACTGACAAACCTGACATGGTAACAACTCGTTCTGCTGCAAAGAGGAAGGTGAGTTTCCTTGGTGATACAATTTATTTTATTTATTTGAATTGTTCTTTTATCCCTCTTGATGCTTAAAAAAGTTCTTCCAGCTTCAGGTATGAGGATTATCTATATCCAGGTATATGGAAATACCTCCTGGTAGTGCCTTGAGGAAATGAGATTTTTCAGTGAAAGTGATTTTCCAGTTATTAAAAATATAGCCTGATACTTAAATTGACAATTTCTATTGAATTTTCCAGGAGCTTTTCCAAAAAATCTGACAAAATGTTTTGGTTGCTGGAATTTCAAGGCACAGAATTGATTGTACAAGAATTGATTCAGCTGCATTGTTGGGCAGCTCTGGTGGGAGGGGAAGGCAACAAATAGAGGAATATACAGAAATAACCCATTTTCCTAAATAACTAAAGATAAAAATGACTGTGTTTTCATTATAACACAACCAGGACTGGATTGTACTGGGGGAAATAAGTCTATAATGTTTAATTCCCACTTATGCCAACCTCTAATGAGGTGAGAAGAGATGAATTCCATTTGATTCTTGTGCCTGTGGGACTCTGGGGGTTTCTCTGAGCTGCAGGTGCCCCAAGCACCCCAAACCTGTTCCCAGCAGTGCAGGGCTGTGGCTCAGGACCCTGATGGGAGCAGCTCAGGAGCCACAAACACTGAGAATGTCAAGGACACCAAAAACCCAGAAAGGAGCAAGATCCAGAGACAGAGGAATCCAAGCACAGCTGTTCCCAAGAAGGCCCAGGTGAGTGCCAGCCACTGCAGTTGCTGAATTCTGCTTTTATTTGGATTTATTTCTCTCTCCTTGTGTCCTATAGGATTATTTTGATCTCCTGTTGCTGCCAAGATTTTCTTCTTCATCCCCTTCTTGTTTTCCTGCCCCATCTCTTTTCCTTGCTGACTTGAGGGCTTGAATTCTTCTAGGGCCAAAAGGCTCTTTGTGGGGTTGGGTGTTTGTTCTGTAATGTCCAGCTGATAAATTCAGTTCTTGTTGGACTCCAGTGCAAATCTGACCAAAAATCCAAATCCACCTCTTTATTTGGGTGCTGCTGTTTTCATAGTGAGCTGGGCATGGAGAGTGAAGGGATGTGCTGAGCTTTCTGCTGGCTTTGTTCTCCACTGTTTGTGGGATGCTTGTGTAGAAGTTATTTTTATATAGGTTAATCAGTATAATAATTTAAAAAATTAAGCAGTAAAATTTTCACAGAATGATATCACAAGTTTAAATAAGATCCAGTTAATATAAAGCTCAGGTAAACATCTCTTTTCCTTTTCAGACTTGAGGGCCAACAAATGAGTTTGTGCTTCTTCCCTTACCAAGTTCTTGCAGAGACAAGTTAGAAAAGTAATTCTTCTTTTGCTTATGAGTTTCTGGATTATTTTGTAGCTGGCAAAGGAAGTGGAATCTTCCTTTTAAGGGAAACACTTGTCATCCATCAAAATCCAGTAATGGGGTCACTTACTGAAAAATATTGTAGAGAATGATTAAAATTTCACTGTGCTTTATTCTCCTCCTCCATCTTTTCAGAGAAAAACCCGCCCAAGCTATGGGAAAAGAAGAAAGAAAAAAGTCAAGGAATCTTTGTATGGGGAAAGAGAAATGGCTTCTAAGAAACCCCTGCTCAGCCCTATCCCTGAAATCCCAGAGGTTTTCTCTTCTGTGTCATCTCCAGACTCACCAAAGGCAGATGCACTTCTTACAGGTAATTTGGGGTTTGGTTTTGTTTTGCTTTGCTCTTTCTGTTCCTCAACAGTTGTACAAAAAGTATTTTTACTTTCAATTGTTTCTGTAATAGCAGAGTCTGGAGGATCTAATAAATTAATAATGTCCAGCTGATAAATTCAGTTCTTGTTGGACTCCAGTGCAAATCTGACCAAAAATCCATATCCACCTCTTTACTTTGGGTGCTGCTGTTTTCCTAGTGAGTTGGGCATGGAGAGTGAAGGGATGTGCTGAGCTTTCTGTTGGCTTTGTTCTCCACTGTTTATGTGTGGAAGGTTATTTTTATATAGGTTAATAAGTATAATAAGTAAAATAATTTATACACAAAGTAAAATACAAAGAAGTTTTCTTGTAATACACAAAGACGTCGATTGACTGAAGGCACAACCATGTGTTTGCTCTTTGCAGAGGGTGCCGGTGTGGGTGACCCCGAATGCAGGGGCAGTGCCCAGCAGCCCCAGGCTGGCAGGGTGCAGGGGCTCTGTGCAGCTGCTCCGTGCCCTGCGCTCCTGGGGGAGGCAGCAGCCGCCAGCCCTGCAGACTCTGAGGTGCCAGGGAGCCTGGAGGCAGCTCCTGAGGTAACTGCTCACAGTGAGCTTTGGGGGGAGGCACTGGGATGATTCAGCTGGGACAGAGTGAAAAACCCCCCAGAGTAAAAATCCATTTTGAGTTGGGTGAAATGTCTAGAAAGGGTGAAAAGTCTGTAAGGCTGAAGCTGAAGGGAAAACTGCAGGACAGAGATAATGAGGAGACAGAGAAAAACAGAAACTACTGCAAGGGCAGGCTGGCCAGAGCAGGAATTGTTCCTGGTAAAGAGGAACTGGTGGCAAATGTCACACAGAGTAAGAATGAATATGTGTGGGCCTGTTGTGAAGCTGTGTGCATGTGGATTTGGGAGGGGAGATAAAGAGACCCGAAGCTCTCAGAGGCCCACATGCCTTGTTTGAGGAGAGCAATCTCTGCATGCACCCAGCAGTGTCATAAACACACCAGCTGTACAACTTTGACAAAGTTGTGGGGCACTTTCCTTTCTCCACAAAACTCAGCCTGCAGGCCATGGAATCTCTGTCCTTGGAAGGAGGGGTTGGGCATTCAGAACTCAGCTGAGCCTCTGAGCAGCCTGGTGAGGCAAAGTGAAAATTTTCCAAGATAGAAATCCATTTTAATTTAGGTGAAATGTACATTTTTGAGTTGAGTCTGTGGTTAGAAACCAGAGTTATTTAGCCAGACTGCAAGGCCCAAGCTCAGTGAAGTTACTTCAGCGAAGGACAGAGACAAAGGGGGGAGACAGAAGATGATAGAGAGAGACAGGGACTGCTGTAAGGGCAAGTCAGCCTGACCTGGGAATTCTTTCTGATAGAAAGGAACTAGTGGTAAATGTCACACGAAACCCATAAAAATGAATATGTATGAACCTGTTGTGAAACTGTATGCATATGTATTTGAGAGGTACAAAAGGAGATCTGAAGTTCTTCTCAGAGGCACACATGCCTTTTTGAGGAGAGCAATCTCCTGCAGGATTCCCTGTCAGGTGTTGGGATTTTGGAGTGGTAGGAGAGCAGAAGCCAGTTCAGCTGTTTGAAACCAGTTTTCATGGATTACCTGTTGCCTGTATTTAAAAAAAATAAAGTTTTTTTTTTATTTTATCTCCCCAGTTTTCAAATGCTGTGCCAGATGCAGAAGGTGATTTTGATACATCTGATTATTTCCAGCAAGGCAAAGAGACTCCATGTGAAAAAGAAGCAAAAGAAAGCAGTTCCTTGATAGAAAAGGAAGAATTACAAAGAAATCTTCTAACTGAGCTTGAAATTGTGGAACAACAGGAGGTACAGGAGGGTGCCCAGAGAGCCAAGTGTCCTCAGAAGGATTCTGTCAGACATGAGCCAGCAAGGAGAAGAAGAAGAAGCAGCAGTGCCTTCTGCTTCCCTCCTGTTGAGAACCTGGCAGTGCCTGGGGCTGACCCTGCAGTTTGCTCTTACAGCGTGGAGGAGGTGCTGTCAGTGCCGCAGGGCAGGGGGAGCCGCGGGGCCGGCGCGGAGCTCCGGGTGAGGCGCAGCCTGAGGCTGAGCAGGGACGGGGCCGGCTCGGGGCTTGCCTGGATCGAGGTGCCCAGGGAGCCTCCCCTGCCCGCTGCTCCCAAAGGCAGCAGACGCAGCAGCACCTCCGTCCTGGCCGGGCCTGGGAATGTTCACAGGGAGCAGAAGCTCCTCCCCCTGCCAGCCCCGGGCACGGAGAGTGAGGGCTCTGCTCCCCTCGCTGCAGCTCCTGCCAGGAGGTGGAGGAGGAGAAGCCTCTGTGAAGCCACAGCTCAAGAAACGCCCTGGGCTCCCACCCAGAGAAGGAGAAGCACAAATTCTGTGTGTGGGAAGAGCAGGAGTGACCAAAACCACTCAGGAGCAGCAGAAACTCTTGAGCTGAGCTTGAAGGATGTTTCAGGCATCTCTGGTTTTCTGAAGTGAAGGTGCTTCTCAGGCCTTGTGTTGTGTCTCAAGTGCAGTTTTCTTCTTTCCCACTTGTATTTCCTCACTTATTTTCTTATTCATTTTCTGGATAACTTAGAACTCATTTTCCTTTTCTTGATGCCTAAAATGTTTGAAGATCTGAACTGTTTGGCATTGGTCTGGTTATGGCAGGTAATGAAGAGAATTAAAAAATTCTTCTCCCTGATAAATGTGGGTTTGTTTTTAGCAGTTAAACCAGAACCAAACGTGTCCTTCCAGCCACAATTGCTCCAAGGCTTTGTTTCCTGTGTGTGACCATTCCCTAGAAATTGCTGTTGAAATCTGCATATATTTTCTTTTAGATTGCAAAACTGCACTCAAAAGAGATTGTCTGCAATGAATAAAGGAATCACTTCCTCCTCTTCCCTTTCAAGAAGTGGGGAACCTGTTTCTACCTTCTGGAGAGGCTTTGGGCATGAGCAGAGGTGGAGTTAGAGTGAGATTTAGTGTTAGAGTTCATGAACTGTTCTCTTATGTAAAGGGTGGTCATTAAAGAAAAAAAAAAAGCTTTTAGATATTTATTTGTGTAAAATTCATCTGACCAATGCAATTGGCTGAGGGGAGAGAAGCATTGGCTGGGCTTCATTTCCAGCCCTGTGTGTCCTGAGCCCATCCCCTGCTGGCCCCGGTGGAACAGAGGGAGCTCTGCAGCTGCTCTGCTCCAGCCTCTGCTGCTGCTTTCATTTTTCAGCTGGGCTGTTCCAGCCCTCAGGGACGCCCGTGCCAGCCTGGAGGAAATGGCTTTGTGTCCAATGCAGTCCCTTCTGTGACTGCTTTGTGCCATGAGTGATGTGGGATAAAATCCTTGATGTACTTAGCTGCTTTTATAGAGCTTGAAAGAAACCAGAGCAGTTGGATTTTTATACCTCTTGCTCCCAAGACAAGAATTCCTCAAGCAACTTGAAAGAAACTGCACTGTTTAAGCTGTTTGAGTTCCAGAATCCTTGGGGTTGGAAAAGAGCTTTAAGATCAGAGTCCAGCACTGCCCTGTGGCCCATAAACCACGTCCCCAGGTGCCACATCTCCATGTCTTAAATCCCTCCAAAAACAGTTACCTTAATGTTTGGCTTGGGGATTTGCTTTGGGGTTGGTTTGGAAGCAGACTGGAGAGTTGTGGGCTGGATGCTGAGCTTGGCTGCCAGGAGAGGGCAGCCTGGGCTGGGATTTCTGCTTGGAAGGGAAAGAACATCATGGACAAACCCTGAGAGGCTGGCTGAGCTTATCATGTAAAGCTTAAAGAATGAGTAAATGAGTAAAAATAGCTGCACCTTTTATTGTTCAAAACAAAGCAACTGAGCTGTGCACTGGAATTAAACTGGGCTGGAATCAGGTGGGAGTTTGATCTGGAAATCACTTTGTGCCTGATCAGCCAGGTTGTACCTGAGCTGTCTGGGTGTCTCTGTGCAGCTTTTAGGTACCAAATCCAGCCCTGGGTGACACTGGGGCTGTCACACCCTGAATGCCAGGCACCAGTGAGACCAAGGCGTTGTAAAGGAGGGAGAGACAATGAATTGGTGTGTTGGGCACAGGAGGGTTCGTGCCCAGTGTGCCAGAGCTCTGGGGGTGCTGCCCTGGGCAGCCCCAGCAGCACAGGGAGCTCTCCCTCCCTCAGGATCCCTCAGAGGCTCCCCAGGTGCACGGGAGGTGGGAGGAGGAGAACAAGGGGAAAATATAGCCCCAAAATAAAGCTTGGATTTTCCTCCTGGCACAGCTGGGTGGAAAAGGGTTGTTGGGGATCATTTGTGGATGCTTGATAGCAGTGACAGGGTGAGGAAACCCACAAGAAAGGAGGAGGTTGCAGTTTGTTCCAAGACATGTCTACTACTTTATGCTGCTTTTTAGTTCCTTTTGTCCTTCTCTGGATAGAATTGATCCTCAAAATACTTTGTTTTCTTAATCTGGAGAGGATTTGAACAAGTGTTCAGCTGTGCAGAGGTGGGGGGCAATAATCTGTTCTCCATATCTGCCCTGAGAAGGACAAGAGATGTGATTTAGTCAGAGGAAAAGGTCTCTGTTAAACATTAGGGGAAAGTTCTCACAGCAGTGATGGCCAAGCAGGGGAACCTGGGGAAGTGTGGAATCTCCATCACTGGAGCCTTCAGGAACAGATTAAACAAATTCCTGTCAGCAGTGACAGATGATCCTTCCTGGGGTGGGGATAGGCCACGATGGCCTCTGCAGGCTCTGGCTGCTTTCTGATGGTGGAGATTGCAGGAGCTGCTGTGGGGCTGGGAGCTGGGGAAAGCTGGGAGAGCTCCTCATGCAGGGCCCTGCAGCATCCTGGGGCTTCAAACACCCAGATCTCACCTGAGTCCCTGCCCTGCCTCGGGGCAGGAGCTCCCTGAGCTCCTGAAAACTCACTGAACTGAACTGGGCCCTGCACTGGTGCCTGTGCTGTCACACAGGCTGGGAGCCGCAGTGTAATTCCATTCTCCCCTCTGCTTTTCCAAAATCAACATTTCCCTCAGAATGACCAGCAGCTTCCTGGAAAAGAACATCATGGACAAAACCTGAGAGGCTGGCTGAGCTTATCATGTAAAGCTTAAAAAGTGAGTAAATGAGTAAAAATAGCTGCTCAAAACAAAGCAACTGAGCTGTGCACTGGAATGAAACTGGGCTGGAATCAGGTGGGAGCAGCTTTGCTGGAGTTGTGTCTTGGTGGCCATGGTGGGGGTAGGAAATGAAACCAAGGTGTGACAGCACAGAGGTGTCAGGGCTCTTTCAGTTTGTGCTTCTGCTTTCCAGCTCTGCCTGAAGGAGATTCCAGTGGTTTTTTCCCATTTTTATGTGCTGAGCTCCAGCTCAGACTGTGTGTTCCAGTGGCATCTAAATAAATCCATGGCATGGCCATTCCTCTTCCAAAGCCAGGCCCTTCTCCCTTTGGAGGGCTTTTCTAAAGATGAATTTGTGTTTCAAAGCACTTCCCTACTTTAATTTGTGTGGACTTTAAATGACTTCGAGCAGGTCCAAGGCAGGCCTGGCTGTGGGTTGGTGAATAATTGCATTTAGCAGCTCCCCACATAATTGCTGCTCTGACTGGCAGGGAGGACAAGGGCTGGGATCGCTGATTGTTTTGCTGCTGTGTAATTATGATGTTGTTAATAAGTAAGAGTAATTACACATCACTTGTGTGAGGTGCAGTGGTGATGGATTTTCAGAGCTGGATACCTGGCAGTGATTTCACAGTTGGAAAAGTCTCAGCTTCACTTTGCTCAAGGTACAAAGAACAATCCTTATCCCGGAATTCTCCAGGAGCTTTTCAAGGGAAAGTGTTAATGTTTCCCAGGAATTTTTATGCCTTTATTTTGCCTTAATTAAGGTGCACATAAAAGGGGGGATGAGATGACCAAATTTCTCCCATATGAGTTAATAAAACTTGAAGAAGTAAAACTTCTCTCATTCTGACCTGATAAGCAGGGGGAAAAAATAACAAGAACTGTATATGCCATTTTTTATTTATTTCACTTTAAAATGTAAATAAATCTGGTTTAGAGCTGATTTTTTTTCTACTTTATCCTGACTACTGAGCAATAGAAGATGCTGAAACACCCAAGAGCTGCCTGGAAATGTCACTGTTGTGGGTTTGTCTGGGTCAGTTGTTCAGAAATGTTTAGAAAGTTTGTGCTTGACTCTTCCTCCTCCTCCTCACTGTGAATCCTCTCACTCTTGGACCTGCAGAGACTTTAGTGATGAACAGGAAGCAAACAGCAAAGGCTTGGAGATGGAGAAAGGGGAAGTTCCCCTGCAGAATGGCAGGGATGGCTGCAGCACACAGGAACACGAACAGGCAGGGGAAGAAATTGCATCTGCAAGCTGCCAACAGGTAGGCGAGCACTGGAAATCAATAAAAAATCGTGGGGTATTCCTTCAGCGTGGTTTTAAAGTGAGGAAGTAAAATGAAAATGTTTGAAGTCCAAATACAGTCTGGTCTGCCTGTGCCCCTGTGGAGGAGCTGGAGCTGGGCCTGTGACTGGGAGACAAGCAGCCTAATGTATTAGTTTAGTAATTAACTCCTGTAAATTGTGCATAACAGAGCAATTAACTACTTTAGCCAGGCTGGGGAGGGGGGAGAGGAAAACCTGTGTGCTGTGGGAGTGAGGGCATGGAACAGATTCCCTGAGCCAGGCCTGGATCCTGGTGTTGCTCTTGGTTTATTTCCAGTGACCCCTTGACTCCCACCTTCCTGCCCCCTGCCCGGGCTCGGGGCTGCTCAGGCCGCTCTGTTTTTGGAAGGCAGAGCAGACAGATAGAATGAATGGCTTTTATTGTGCAATATTTCAACCCCTTTTTGACTGCCTTCGGATGGGATGGAAAATGTTCCACCCCGCGCCGCAGCCAAGATAAATAAAACTTATTCCCTAAACCTGGCTGTGTGCTTCACTCAAACTGGCAGTAGTTAGAGCTCCACTCTTAAACAAGAATTTAGTTTGACAATTTTTAGGCCTTGTTCAGCTGAATGTAACAGCCAAAGAAAATACTTGGGGAAAAAAAAATTAATACATGTATTTACAGCTTGCAGGTGGCATTAATTTTTTGGGGGGTCAGACTTTTTAGGTTTAAGGATCCCTGTAAAGTTGGGCTGTAGTGTAGATTCTTAAAAAACATTCTTAATTGTCTCTTTTTTTTCTTTTTAAATTAGTTTTTTTATGAGAATAGTCACTCTGAAGGAAAATACATTTTATGTAACTCCCTGATGGGTGATAAATTGTTGTGATTCAAGGCTTTAAGAGTTTAGGGTCTACTAAGAACCTGAAAACTCTGCAGCCACAAGCCCCAGCAAAGGAGCAGTAAAAGCTCTCAACAGAATCCTGCAAAGGATTGCCCTTCAAGTCCACTGAGTTGGGTTTAAATTCTTTCTGGAGCCTTTACTGCTGGGTTTTAGCATTGCCAAGCAGTGCAGTGAAGCCCTCACTCTGTAGCTGAGATATTCCAAGCTGTGCAGCATGTTTAATGGTCTGGACAATCCTATTTATTGATAATAACAATAATAACAACACCTTTTCATTCAGTCACCATGTCCAGAGCTCTCCTGAGAGTTTGAACAATGGAGTAAAATTGAATAATCAAAGCAGCCACCTCCCCACCCAACCAAGCTTTTATTCTCCACAATCCCTCTCTCCAAACAAAACCCCTTTGAACAGATAAAATGCAAAACTGAATATTTTAAAGTAGATAAATGAGCCTGGTTTTACATCCTGCTGATGAAATTGTTAACAGTTACCACGGGCCTCAAAGTCCAAGGAGAAGCTGCAGCACAAACGGTGCCCATTCCTTGAAAGCCCTGATGCTGCACTAAACTAAACAAGGTAGGAATTGGAAAATTGGGAGTTTTATCCCCTCTGTGCTCTGAGTCTGGGCTCGTGCTGTTCTTGAATTGAGTTGTTGCTCCTTTTCCTTGCTCTTTGTCTTGCCAGCACATGGAACATCAGGGTGGAAACAGGGATCCAATATCCCCATCCCTTAAATCACCTGGCTCACACTGGAGATAGAAACTTCACCCTGCCATAAATAACCCGCCTGTGGCACCCAAATGTTTGGACAAACAAATGCCTGCAGTCCCACGTTCAGCAGGTCAGAAATGCTGAGCTCTGGCAGTAAATAATATTCACTAATGCAAATCTATTAAGGTTCTAAGGGAATTCACATTTGAACTGGGCTTTGGAGCTGTTGAGTGGCCTCGGGTGTGCCATTGAGGAAAAAGTAATTGTGTGGGTACAAATATTAATGAGGAATAAAAGGGTCATTTTACTCTTTCCTCAAGGAAAAAAAAAAACCCTTAAAGTACCCAGGGTGTGTTTTGCAAGGAAAGTTTTGTAAGGTTTATGTAAGGAGTAGGTAATGTGTGTGTGGAGTTTATATCAGTGCATGACATAATCCCAGCTATGGAATAGAATCCCTAAATGTTCATTTCCCATTTGTTTTTCCCACCTCTCCCCCTGCTTGTTCCTCACAGAGCTCTCTTGTCCTGGGTTTTCCTGCACCTCCTGCCTCAGGTTTGGGGTGTGCTGCTCCTGCTCTGCCTCTCCTGAATTTCTTTGTCCCCAGTGCTTCCTGCCCTTGTTTAACACCAATGTCCAGTCACAAAAGTGACACATTTGTTCAGAGGGATGGTCCAGAAAGGGACCCAAGCAGTCAGGAGCACAGGGAAGACGAGTACACAGAACTGAGCACTGAAAGCTTGGCTGGCAAGAACTTCCCTGGTCCTTGGCATGGTGCCCCCTCCAAGAGCCACAGAAAGCTCATTCCCAGCCAGATCCCTGGGCTTTGGTGCCTTGGAACTGTCCCTTTGTGCAGGAAATGATCAGGCTTTAGGCAGAATTAAACCCGTGGTTTCATCCTGACACACAGACTAGCCCGAGCCTTAAATTGTTCCTCTTTTATTAGCAAGGCAAATATCTGCTTCTGAAAATGGCTTTTTTTTCCTCATTCCATGAGGGACTGGGGACTTGGGCCAGTAGTCGAAGAGAAGCCTAAAACTAAACCCT